AAACCTCCTAGACATGTAATCACTGCTTAGACATGTAAAAACCACCTAGACATGTAAAAACCACCTAGACGTGTAATCACTGCTTAGACGTGTAATCACTGCTTAGACATGTAATCACTGTCTAGACATATAATCACTGCCTAGACATGTAATCACTGCCTAGACATGTAAAAACCACCTAGACATGTAATCACTGCCTAGACATGTAATCACTGTCGAGATGTACAACCCCTGCCTAAACACCACCTACTGTAGATATGTAAACCCCACCTAGACAGATAAACCCCACCTAGAAGGAAAACACCACCTAGACATCTATATAAATAATAACCACTGAGACATGTAAACACTGTCGAGATGTACAACCCCTGCCTAAACACCACCTACTGTAAATATGTAAACCCCACCTATACAGATAAACCCCACCTAGAAGGAAAACACCACCTAGACATCTATATAAATAATAACCACTGAGACATGTAAACACTGCCTAGACATGCAATCACTGTTGAGATGTACAACCCCTGTCTAAACACCACCTACTGTAAATATGTAAACCCCACCTATACAGATAAACCCACCTAGACAGGAAAACACCACCTAGACATCTATATATAAAGTAATAACCACTGAGACATGTAAACACTGCCTAGACATTTTAATACTGCCTAGATGTGCAGCCACCACCTAGACATTTTAATACCGCCTAGACATTTTTACCAGGAAGTTAGTTTTCTAACATTCTAAACTTTTGTGGAGATAAATTGATTTGACATTTGAAATATAATTTCTCCAATAGGATGGCTGGGTTGGATTTAAATCAGTAACGATAGAAAGAAGAAAAAAGATGTCTGCGAAAGATTTCTACAACGGCTTCCTCTCTCGGGATCAGTCACTCGACTGGAATAATTTTACAAGTGTACGTAATAAACATACAGAAGCACTCAACAAAAAATATGGCACATGATGGCTCTGTTACTTCCTGTGGCTAGTTATCAAGACATAGTGGACATTTATCACAACATTTATATTCCTAAATCTAAAAACTGTACGTTTTTCATGTTGTTGAAATGCAATTTGTAAAAGTCAAGAACTGTTAGATTTTGTTCCATACCCTGCTACATTTAATGTTTTCACTGGAATTTTAAACTAGTAAAACTGCTATAGATTCCAGTATTACTAATATCATGTAAATTTCCGAAATGCTGATTTTACATATAAGAGATATGTAGACATTATTTTGTTGCATGTGCCTGAAAGTAAACAACTCCTGCGCAGTTAAGTTGACCATTGTTATCACTTACGGCAGTACCAAGTGAATGTATGTGACTGATTAACATTGGAGTAGTAATTGTATGCTGCATTTATGACAATAAATTGTGTATGTGCTGAGATTTTTGTTGTAAAAAAATGGTCAGAAAACATGAAACAGACGTAGGTGCTGCTTAAATTGAATATTTAACTACTATCAATCAGTGTCTTGTGCAAAATCAGGATCTACCTCTCATGATACAAAGATTACAGAGATGTACGAATGAAAATTATATTTGATAATTTAAAACATCCCTGAGTAGACCTTCATTTACTCACAAACAGGTCAAAAAAATGTTGGTACTTAAAAATGACGCAGTTTCAATTAAAGAAACTATCTTGTGAATTAACATAAAAAAATAAACTACTGCTAAAGCAGTTCTTTGGAATATAGTTTTTAGTTGACTGTAATTAGCATATTATTACATTCATAATTTTATACATTTTTTGATTTTATTGAACTAGTAGTTTTGCGACAACTAACCCCATTTAAAAACTTTTTTTTTTACTTTACTGCTACTTACCGATCAATAGAATTTTCTATTGGTTTGAAATGAATCTGTTTTCAAGTTTGCACAATTATTATGAAAGCAAAAGATTATCGGCAACGGAAGTCGGCAATGTTGAAATAATTAGATCCGGTACAAGTACTTGTTTGCATAAATTATTAGGAAAATAAATGTCCACTGAGTCAATGAGGTTTAAATGTTCAGAGCCGGTATAATCATATACAAGTTTATGGGATAACAGTACCAGAAGATCAGAGCATGAAATAGATGTAACATGTCTAACTTTGGGTGAATTGTCAGTTCTCCTAATTCTATGACACTGCTTCTTGTTGTTGACTTAGTCGGCGAGCAGAGCTGTTCTTATTACTGACCAATCTGATTAAAATAAGATCCTAGTTTTGGCTTTTTTTTTGTATATTTATTTTATTTTGATCTACTATTTATTTTGGTAATTATGAAAGAATGCGGCGATAGTTAAAAATATACCGAATCACAAGTATGTAACAAAATAATAAAAAAAAATAGTAAAAGTAAAATAAATATATAAAATAAAATACACGTCGTACAATACATCAGATTGATTACAGTTGGTCGTTTTCCATTACATTTTCAACTTTTAATTGATATTTCATTTAAAGAAGAAATCTTTTGCAGACCCTAGTCAGAGCTGTTCCATTTTGTGTTCATATATCTTCAATTCTTGATTTTCAGTGAATATTTTTCGGTAAAATTTCCCAACTTCTTGAAAATTGCAGCACAATTGCTTCAAGACACCTTAGTCAGATTTTGTTATTTCGCGACAAGTTTAATTTTCTCATTGTAGTGAATATTTTTATCATTTTGAAAAGCCATTTTCAACTGTCTACAATGAATACAGTGGAGTTGTAACAGCTTACAAGCTACTTGTTTCATCTTGCCATGGTTTTCATTCAATTATTATATTTGAAGTCGTGTCGTTTTTCCAATATAGTAGTTGTAGTTATTGACTGATAAAAACATTGTATTTAAGGATGCAATAAAGTTATCATTGTTATTATATTTTTTGTACGTGAAACATCCATTATAATAATTTTCTGGACACGTATGTGATGTATTTGCTGAATAATTCGGTTATATTTTCTCTAGACTGACTTGGTCGGCGATAGGTATTGCGCCCTCGCCGACAGATTACAAGATAGTTTGCATCGCAATGAATATGTCGGCGAGGGCGCATAACAATCGCCTGCCGTGTCTGGATTTTTTGTTATGTTGAATATTTGCGTCTTTTTGGATAACTTCGAGATCGCATTTCAGAACTATAATAAATATTACTATTATGAACTAGTTTTCAAGCTTCTTGTGCAGTCATAGACCTTTTCTATGTTGCAGTTCATTTTTTTTTTAATTTTGTGTTGTTGAAATGTAATCTTTCAATGTCTTGACAGTAGGTGTAAAGCTGTGCAAGCTTGACCTGCACTGCTGGAGTCATGAAATTTGTGCATTAATTTGCATGAAAGGTGGTTTGATTTCTTACGTTCCCCTAAAACTGACGCATTGGGAAACGCAAATCATTCGGAACTCAGTCTGGTGTTGACCCTCCACTTTTTTCACATATCTTATCTTTGTTTACATTCCCACTTTCCTTGCTGCCTGTTTTTGTATTTCGTGTAGAATGTGACAAGTTCACTCATTTCTTGTTTCTTGCTCTTTGTTTTGTGTAGTATCTTATTGTTATTTTGGCGTAGGCAATACGAAATTAACTTTTACACTCCCATCCCTGTCTCGAACGATTCGCGTTTCCCATGTAGCATTTAGAGTTCAAATATAGCGTCGTCTGTCCACAGACGTTTGACTCCATACGTCATGCCCAGAAAGTTTAAGCATGGACGTACTAGTCTCTAGTAGGCACACTATATAATATTGAAACACGGCATGATAAAGTTACTACCGCAAAATTGAGATTTAGTTACCGATATAATAACATGCACTCACCTACCTATGATAGGCCAGGTTCTGTAATCGTTGCTAGATTTCCTAATAATGACTTGAATCGCTCAATCCCAGTATGCTAGCGTATATTCGTATTTGGTATGCATGTACAGGACGGCTGCTGTATTTGTTTGTTCAACTAAGGTTGAATCAATACAGTTTATCACACGAAAAGACCTGTTGACCGATCACAATCCAGGATTTCCAATGATTATAAGCTGTAATTGTCCATCGAGGTGACAAAAGAATCATGCAATTAGCATACAACAATTTGCATACATCGAATGCTTCGAATCTATGCACAAAAGGTGCCCGTATCCAGCTTGATTTTGTGCCTTCCCTTTGGCTTAGTCTTTTCCACGAAACGAAATGAAACAAAACGAAACGAAACCCTAACCCTAACCTTAGATTTTGAACGACCTCAAACATCGTCACGTCCGTATATTTCACAGTGTGAAATTTTCTCAGATATTATTGGGCCAATGAAAAAAAAAAGGCGAGTTAGGGTTAGGGTTTGGGTTTGGGTTTCGTTTCGTTTCGTTTCGTTTCGTTTCGTGGAAACGACTAAGCCCTTCCCTTTGACTGACGCACACAAAAAGCAAGTCTTGCGTAACTGATACCGGCCACTTCCTTTTTGCGCATTCACTAACTTGATGTATATTTCCAAGTTGTAGGTTTTCCCCGTTAGTCAGTACTAAATGTAGGTGACTCACGTACGTGAACGAAACTGAGTTTAGCCGATATGCAAACATATGGGAATAGCTTTGATCTTAGCTATAAAAAAAAAACGATCTATTAAATCTGACTCGTCTTTCCACATGTATGTATTGAAAATATGCGATGCATGAATTAATGAAATCATTGCTCACATTTGCTTCTGGTGTAGACAATATTATTTTCGGAGATCTAAAGTAAAAAATCGCAGCCTTTTAGCTGCTGCACGTCCTGGTTATTCACTGCTAATTACATTACATGGAGATTGTGAAATGTCTTTGTGAAAGGAGTGACACCTGTGGATGCGTGAATTGACTCCGGGGTAAAGCGATATTTTACTTCTCTAATACCAACAACCACCAACTATAAATAACACTTGATTTCTTAATTTTAAATAATACAATAAATGCACAGCAAAATTATATCAATACATAGAGGAAGTTGATCAACATTCAATATCCCAACTTTTCGACAAAACAAACTTTCAAATTAATTGAGTGTGAGTCATGACCATGGCATGCTTCTTTTTTTACACAACTGGCAAAAACATGCAACAATAGTAGTAAGTATTTTGAATATTTGTGTCCCATAATAACTCCCCAGAAGTATTATCAACGGGCAGATATCGGTGCCAATGAAATGAAGCCAAGCAGATTTCCCCGGAGTGTATGTGCTGAGGGCACCAACCGACTTCTTAGTTAGTTTTATTGTAATTCCGATTATTCAGACGTTCGCACCTTTCTACAATCAAAAACAGGAGTGACATATTTGAAGTAACTAGAACTATTATGAGGTTATTACGAGGATACATCAATGTATGCACGAAGGCAGTACAGTGAAAGTATTGACTGACGCGCAACGGAGGTCGATGCGACGGCGTACTGGCTGAAAACATACTTTGAGCATGGAGCTAGAAAGGGACTCTTTGTGTGGAGTCCGGTCAAACCTTGGTGACAGCCATGTTTGTTTTTAGAGGACGCTTACGCGCGTAATCCTTATATATATGGAATTCGCATTTCCTAATATAGTAAGATGAAAATACCCCGTAAAATACCGCAAAATTACGGTACGCTGTAACTTATGGCGTTACGGTGACAGATGTATAATAATTTGTATTATTATTATTAATATTATTATTAGAGTCAATGGAAAGGAGAGGGGGGGCAAAGGGATAGCTGGTACAGGTTTCAAAAAATGAAAACGATATTTTACATTTTTACCTCAAAGGAATATCACTTTTATCAATGTGATTCTGTTTTCATTGACCAGTGAGTCTGAAAGTATAATATATTCACACAATTTGACCTATGACCCCCAGCTCAGTTGGACATGCGCATTCTGGTGAACTTTGATTTGTTCATGACTGTAACAACGTAATATTTAAAGCGGGAGGGTAGTCACCTTCGCACGCGCGGGAATTGAGTCTCAAGCAAAGATAACAACACACGCAAAAAACGCAAAGGCT